GAGGGTTAATAGAAAATTACACTGTGAAGCTGTGCAAAGCTGGAAGGAACTACAGCTGTACATTGATTTAGCTTTTAGGTTGATTGTTTTGTTTACATACTTGCTCAGGCCATTCCTTAGCGATATCTGAAGAGATTAAATCCCTAGTGATATCTGAAAAGATTAAAAAGAGCATCCTGAAAGACCATTAATGCTGGAAAAACTTCCAGAGTTCATGTGACTTTGTTCTTACAGTTTTTATCCTTACTAATTCCCTCTGGCATCATTATTGTTTTGGTAATGTTTGCATGAAACTGATTTTGTGTTACTATAGATGTATCTTTCCAATGTGTGTAATACAGCAGTGTGTCAGAATCTCCCCGCCCCGGTGGGATATGGGAGAGAATTGGAAAGGTAAAAGTGAGACAACTCGTGGGTTGAGATAAGAACAGTTTAATAATTGAAGTAAAATAAAATAGAATAGTAGTAATAGTAGTAGTAATAATAATACAATAATAATACACAAAGCAAGTGATACACGATACAATTGCTCACCACCTGCTGACCGATGCCCAGCCCGTCCCCAAGCAGCGATCGCTGTCCCCCGGCCAGCTCCCTCAGTTTATATACTGGGCATGACGTTATATGGCATGGAATAGCCCTTTGGCCAGTCTGGGTCAGCTGTCCTGGCTGTGCCCCCTCCCAGCTTCTCATGCGCTGGGCAGAGCATGGGAAGCTGAAAAGTCCTCGGATAGTGCAAGCACTACTTAGCCACGACTAAAACATCAGTGTGTTATCAACATTATTCTCATCCTAAATCCATACCACAGCACTGCACCAGCTACTAGGAAGAAAATTAACTCTATCCCAGCTGAAACCAGGACACAGTGTCCTTAGTTAAGCTCCAATCTGAATAAATACTGAAAGGGTATTTAGCTGTTACATTATACAATCTTAGAGATTAAAAAATACCAGAAATATTCCAAATACATTAAAGCTTGTTATGCTCTTGAACTTCTGATAACTGAAATGAATCATAATGTGAATTGCATCAAATAGTGTGTATTTTCAGCACTTCAGTTGAGGAGGAGGCAAATAATTAATGAAAGCTTGTCTTATTATCCAGGAATTCCCACTCCTGATTTTTCAACAAATTCAGTTATGCCAGGAATGAACAAGCCATAAAAAAAAAAAAAAAAAAAAAGCTCTGTTATGTGCATACGGTACAAATTGTTTTGGTAGACAGCTCAAGTTCCAGAAGAAGTCATCTCTCATGAAGAGTTGAGCAATAATGTAGCTAGCCGATTTGATAATAATTTGATAAAGACTTACCTCTGCTGTAGGGCTCTGTTCCGCTGCTTCTTTAAACAAGGTATGCGATATGTGTTTTACTATCCGATACCAATTTATTCCAATTATACTCTTTCTTCACCTTGTTTGGTGTACTTTATTTTTCTTTTGCAGCATCTGCTGCTGTTTTTATTGCTTCTTCTGGCCATCCCATGTTGGCTATTCCTTTCAAGTATGACATGCGGCATCACTTCTTGGTAAGTGTGCTGATATATTGATCTTCAGGTTTTCTTTTCTGCCTTCAGAAAAGGCAAACTTGTTGGAAAGAGAAGCTTCTTATCAATGTAGCACTAGGGAGATGCATCTAAGTTGTAAAACTGGGAAACTAACGTGCAAAAATAGTATGGTTAACATGATTGTGTTGCCAATACATGCTGAAGTAGGTATCACGTAACTGACACAGACAGTACTGTGGCACTTCCAAGGTCTTGATCCTCTCTGTTCCTGAGCACTGCTGATAATAAAAATATTACATATATGCAATATCATGACTTAAAGGTGACGTGTAGTTCCTTCCTTCTTCGTGATTTTCTGGCTTTGAGAATTTCAGTTCATATATTATGTTTCATGCAGTGGTATTATTTGTATTAAATTTTCCATTTCCTTCAATTTTTTTCAAGTATCAGTGCTTGTTCTTACAATATTTGTCATCAAACCTGTGAATTAGTGGATTGTTTGTTCTCAAAGAAGATTGAAAAAAGTCATTCAGTGGCTTATAAAAGGACTATTTTTACTACTTTAAATACACATGCGAAATGATTTGGTGCAGTTATGGCTAAAAGAAATTAGTTGTGATTGTCTAATCTGTTGTAGTGAAGTCTGTAGAGATTGTGGATTGACTGTGGATGCAATCCTCATTTTGCCTTTTACATATAAATACTTACAGATTTATATGACCTGGTCTGGCTGTGCTTGAATTGAACAGCCACTGTTTTGTCCTGAATTTGGTTCTGAGCCAAAAGTGCATTGATTCCAAAATCTGCTTTGAACCTTGGGCATGTGAGTGATGGTGGGCTGTGAGCACGTGAATGTGGTAGTAGTACCACCAGAGGCCGTTCTCCTAGGTGCTGCAGTAGCCGACCTTGAAGGAGCTGTGCTGTATATATTGCTACTGATGGGACAGAGGCTCTAAGTGTAACATCGTTGTTAGTGGTTTAGTGATAAGAATTAAGATACTCTGTGTGAAGGTATCTGCTTAACATCAGGTCATGGGCTGCCAGAAGACTCCTCTGTGAACTTATGCTGTCAGATCTTTCTGTGAAACCTGGCTGCTAGCAAAGCTTGCCTGACACCAAAGAGTAGCACCTACCAAATGACTGCGGCAGGCGCAGTTACTTACTGTTTGGGGTAGTTGCATGGGATTTCAGGAGAGAGTTCAGCAAATGTGGCTTGCATGAACCATTAACTTGGAAGGTTTTGTACGAGTAGGGAGGAAAGGCTTTGTTGCAATAAGCCATAAACAAACAATTAGTATTATTTAGAGACAGCAAAAAAAAAAATTAGTAGAGACAGCAAGCTGTAATAGCACAGTTGCATGAGCATTTGGGCTTTACAGTCTGAATTGGACTTGATGCCTTATTAATGCAAGGTGAGGCTCAAAAATATGAGCAGCATGTATACCGATACACCATTTAAGGTTGGACCAGGTGATCCTTGGGGTCCCTTCCAAACTGGTGTTCTATGATTATCTCCCTGAATTTTCACAGAGATTGAAACTGTTAAAAACATATGAATCATCCCATTTATTTTGCACAGGACCCCATGGATTTTTAACTCTGCTTGCATAAATAGTTAACATTCCAGTATGATTCCAGTGTTTGTTATGTAAAGTACCATTTGTATAAATTATGGAACTACTATTTTGCTATAACCAGACTCCTGGCACTTTATTTTGCCTCTCTGGCCTGCTAGAACCTGCCTGCAAATTAAATTTTATTCTGTGACTTTTCTGTGTAGAGTAGAGTTGGTTGGGTTATAAAACATACTACTTTTACGGTTCCATGGAACTGGGCAGCCAGCAAACAGGAAGCCAGAGCTGGAATTTGGTTTGGCAGTGTGAACTGTGCTACCTGCAGAACAGCACAGCAGCTGAAAAGCCGAAGAGAGAGACTTCTCAAGGAGATTGCAAGTGCTATTATTTTTTTGCAGCTTCTCCGCTCACCAATTTCTTCCCTCTCCCATGCCTCTACCTATTTTCTGGGAAACGGAGACAGACGTTCTTTGCCAGGATCCTTAAGGCCATGCAACAAAAATCTTAACAGAAATATCCTTTTACCAGTGACTGTATTCAACAGTGACCCATATATATTTGTGTACGTTTTTAAGTGTGACAGAAATGTCTGAAATTCTGTTCTGAAAGTTAATTTATTCTCCAGGAGCAGACTCAAAGGTATTTGTTATAGAGGTCAGCCCCATTGTGCTGTGCAGCATTGTGGGACCATGCCTGTCTATTCCCCTAGGCTTTTAGGGGAGAGGTTAATGACTCCAAAGAAGCAAAATACCAAAAATATGTTTCATTGATAGGGGCTATTCTACAAAAGCAGGAGTGTATACTTCCCCACAAAGTTTTGAGAATGGTTTTGCAGCTGAGGAGAAGTTTATTGCAGGCTGAGATAAGTGGAAGTCTGTCTGCTAGTACTGTTTCCTGGCTTAATCTGGTACCACTGACAGCTTGAGAGGGGCCTGGGAAGATGGTTTCCGAGTGTCAGATGGGCTGCATAATGAAGAGGGAGGAAGGATGGGCTGAAATAAAGTTACCTGGTTGCTGTTATCTTGAGCCTGTGACTGAGCTGCACGACTCGTTCCTCCCTCAGGGGACACAGGTGCGCAGAGCTAGTTTTCTTTAATCACTCACATAAATTAAATTTATTCCTTTGCATTAAAATAATTAAATAAAGCTACGCCCTGTATCTTTTAGTGCCAGATAATATCTTTGAACTTTTGGCTCACCATTTTGCTATCAGCTGCAAGGTATTTTCCAGGGTGTGCTTAACCAATTTTACCATTGTCCTGAAAAGTGTTCTAGGCAGAGAAATCCCCTGATAGCAATCAATGTTCATACGTACGTTTAATCACTGTATCCACTGGGAATAATCATTTCCGCGCCTCTCTTGAAGTCCACCTGCCCCACACTAAGATGAAAGGGACTTCCATGCTGTGTATCAAGTGGCACAGGCTTGATGCTTACCAGGATATTAGGCACAAATTAAAATGGTTTGAAGAATATTGATGTGGGTCTGAGGCTGGCCAGTTGCTGGTGAGGGGATGATGCTGCCAAGTCTGGAGCAGATTGGCAAGGAGCAAGAACAGCCTTTGCCTTTCCTATATCCCCTAAGGGTTTTCTCCTGCTCTTTTTAGG